TTATAAAGACTTGACATTTTCAATGAATAATAAAATGACCATTTACTATGCATGATATAATTCTCAAAATATTATTGGAACTATTGGTACGGAATTGTAAATATCATTTTTCTATGGTTTTTTTTCGTAAAATGTCGATTAAATTATTTTGGTTTGGCGAAATATTTTGAAAATTTAATCACAAGTTCCTCATACATATTTTTTATTAATTAATAAAAATAAATGTGCTGAGGTTTAAAACCGGTTTTTTCGAAGTTTTAATATTATATTTTTAGAAAAGTATATAAATCTCGAAAATCGTCTACATATTTGTACTTAAAAACTCTATGATTTTAAATATTTTCGTTTCGAGTTCTACATAGCATTTTCAAAGATTCAATAATATAACAACAGTTTAAAAATGATACCACGTGTTGTGTGGAGAAATTTTAGGAGCAGCTTTTATAGACTATTAATATGTATATAATAATATTAAGAAGAAATAAAATAACATTTTTAGAAAACATTTATTTTCTTGGCATTCTACTCGTACTACTCGCAGAACTTGTTTTAAGAATATTTTTCAACTACCCACTTCTTTTTTAAATAAGTCTATCAAAATAAAATTATGATCTTGAAATATAATATCAAATTATAACATTTTCAGTATTTTTGAAGGATAGTTTAAAATTTAATAAAAGGAATAAAGTTTAGTGTAATTAATCTTTTTGGCGCATCAACATGATAAAGTGTACTTGTTACGGTGATAATTGGTGTTTTCTCTATGATCCTCTTCGTCTTGCATTCTTTCTCCATTTTATTAACAGTTATTATCTGGCTTATAGTGTTATTCGTAGCGACAATTTTGGCATATTTTGGAAACTCCTTCGGTTCTTGAAAATCTTCGCTACTTTCGTTATCATTAATACAAGAGAGTTATTACTTCAAATTTACCAGTGTATTTAATTTATCTTGTTAGTCCAACATATTCATTTCACTTCTTCTTTCTCAAGCCGGTTGTAAATAAGACTTAAAATTCATTACAAAGTAAAAATAAAATTATTAATTTACCGAATCAGATATATATTGTTGTATTACATACAGTACATTTTTACCGTTATATTTATAAATGATAAATTGATGATACCTTTATTTTTGCATACATTATAATACCTTTTTCCTTTTTTTTTTTTTTTTTGATAAACCCTCAATAATTCAACAACCACTTATTTGTTGAATTAGTAAAGTCCTACCGTGTATACTATTTCGTTACTAATATGTAATCTAAAAATCATACTGATAATTTTATTTTGTTTAACAGTATTATAAATGTATAGTTTAAAATAACTGTTTTCGTAAATATTTACGATGCTTAATAATTTAAAAATTATTGAAAATCATTCACAGGAACTTATTTATCCAATAATATTTTCCCTCGAGGGTCTTCAAACATCAAAATCAACTAAATATAACAAATAAATAATAACACTTACTATAACACGATAAATGCAATATGTGCTTCTATCTCTTACTAGAATCCTTACAATATTTTAAATTGGTTTCATTACAAGTAAAGACTATATACATGATACATTCATTAAAATTAACATTCACGATTTTCCAATAAAATATAAACCTTTATTCCTAATACCAATTAATAACATTATCGTATTATAATTATATAGTTGACATAATTTTATATTTCTACAGACGAAAAATCCACTGCACATTTCGAGTGTTTTAAAAATAAACAATGCTTACGAGTACGTAAAACGATGTGCTCCTAAAGTGAGTTGCGATCCGAATGCAAAATATAGATCAATTAATGGTTCTTGTAATAATTTACTAATACCCACCATGGGTGCAGCAGAAACGCCATTTTTGCGTTTGCTTGATGCTGAATTCGGCGATGGTAAGATGGCTTTAGTTTTTAATAATATTTTATTTCTAAGTAATTTTTTTCGATACCTCAGGTGTGTTGATACACAAAAATAAAAATCTAATAAAAATTATAAGATTTTGTTTTATTTTTATTGGTGTGTTAATTGTAATATATAATATTATAAGTAGATTATTTAAGTATAAATTAACAAGAAAATTTAATACTGTTTGTACTTAAAGTATAATATTGTCTTTTTCTGAAGTGTTAAGTTATAGATCAGTAAACTGTCAATTATTGACGACAATTAAAATTATCTCTTATGAAATTATCGGTATTCAAACAAACAATAAACCAACAATATATTTAACTTTATAATTGGACAAGTACTTGAATTTGTGAAATTTTTCAAGTCCAGTTTTCAGAGTATTCGATTCAACAAAAGAGATTTTGTACTCGTAAATATGAGTATTCAATTATACTCAAGTACTCGACATAGATCTAGTATTCAACTTAAATCTAGTACCTACACGACTTGAATCAAGTACTCTAGTGTATTTCAATACTAAGTTGAGAAATAAATGTTAAAAATATAAATAATTGGAAGCCAAATATGTCCGATAGAAAATACCAGAAAGATTGATGGTTTAAATTAGTAATGAAAGATTGCTATTCTTTTGATAATTTATTAATCATTTTATTAACATTCTATATAGATTGGTAATCACGACTTTTTCTCGAATATTTGACATTTTTCAACTACTCAGCGCTTCAAATTGTCGAGTATTCGATTTTTTTTTCTCATATACTCGGCATTTTTCGAGTACTCGAATTTTGAACTCTACTCTACTCGAAAAAATTGTAACTCGACTCAACATCAAAAAACAATACTCATCCTACTCATTTTAACTTTAAAGGTTATTATAAACTACGAAAGCAAACAAATGGAAGCGCATTGCCTAGTGCTAGATTAATCAACGACAAAATATTTATGGGCCGAGAACTGTACCACGTCGACGAGAATAATATACTTCTATTGCCATTTGCACAACTGTTAGCCCATGACATATCGGGTCTGCCGGGAACTTCGTTCGATAAACACGGTACGGGAACATATTATTACTAGAGACAGTGGCGTATTTTTAATTTTCCTGAGGGGGGTCCACAGTTTATACATAATTAATATAAACTATATATTATATTGTAATAATTACGTCCTTATGCAGTTTTTGGAGAAGGTTGAACTAAATATATAATGTAATAATCGTATAGTCTTATATATATATATATATATATATATACATATAACTTTATATAGAATTTAGCACTATATATTATAAAGAATTGTTATAAAATAAATTCCAGTCATTTCGATTTTTTGGTCAACTCCTCTAACCAAGCGCGCTCGCAGGTTAAAATTCCACCCTGGGCAAGATTAAAATTATGAGGACAAAAAACAACGTGTATCTAAAAATAGATAAGAACTAAATCAAATACCATAAAAATCGGTATTCGGGAGAATTTATAGTTTTAAGCGATATTCAATCATGTGTAAACATTGTATATTAATAAATACGTTCAAGATTATACATTTCAGATTATCTAAAGTTATAATAAATTTTACTAAAATTCATAAATGGATCTTAATAAAATTACATTATAATTAATATGCATGGTATTAAATTAACAATAGTTTTGAAACAATGTCCCCTTTTGCCCCCCTGCGGGCGCACATGCCTCTATCACTTAATCAACAGTAATTTCAACTTCCCTGTGAATGTTTAACATAGCCAATTTTGCAAATATGTAAGAATTTAGTTTATTTTTTTTTTTTTTTTTGAGAGGTTCTGGGGGGTCCAGTACCCCTGTAAATACGCCATTGATTAGAGATGAGCAAATATTTTGTGTTTATATCGAACAATTGTCATTTAAATGCTTCCAGTATACTAAATACAATGTCACATAAATACATCGTTACGTTAAATTTTAGTCAATCGCATATTATGATATTTAAAATAATAATATTAAAATATTAATTAGTTTTGTATCTTAAACTTAAGAAACTTAATAAACTTATTTGGAGACAGTACATAAGAGTGTCTTAAGTATTATTATAATATTGAACACATAAAAAACAACCAAATTGTTATTGGTTCCGAACCATGTAATATTGGAAAATATATGAAACAGAATACTGCTCATCTCTACAATCTTATAACTATGTATAATAATAGTCTCGTTATATAATTTTGTTTCTTAATGTATAATTTAAAATATTTTCTACGAAATACAAAACTTAGGTAAGCTAATTATTTGTCCCACCGACAAAATTGTACGAGAAACAGTTTCACTGTGTCAAACAGCTGTTGAATATCCACCCGATGACCCTGTATATGGAAAATACAATTTAACTATTATGAATATTTTCCGTTCGTCAACATCGAGGAACTACAATTGTCCGTTGTTCCCTACAACATTTGTAAGTCAAACTATCTTCAACAAGTCGTTATGATTCGTTATTAGTTCAAAATAAAAATAAACATATCGTATACATATATATGTTACATTAAGAGTATAAATATCAGTAAAACATTGGATTTTCTGGTAAATCCTAAATTTTATCGATTAATTTCGGTTTTACCTAAGATACACAAAATAGTCTGCTGAAATCTCGAATAATTTTTGTAGTTCGTACTTTTGCTAAAGACTTTCGGTAAATATTAGAATAAACAACCAGCCTTGGTAAAAAACCGATGTTTTTAAGCAATCATGTGATATTTCTTTCCTTTGCTTTACACTCGTACATAAAAAATATTAATATTATTCAAGTATATTAAGATTTCTACATTAGTTACCTGTTTCCATATGTGCACATGAATAATTTCATAACAAACATATGTCTATATATTAACACATTTATTGAAAACATAATTCATAAGACACAATACATAATAAAAATATAAAATGATAAATGCTGTTATGTACTATAAAACCCTTAAGGTTCAAAGGTAATATATTATCTAATATATAAATGTATCTACCAAATAAAGATATTGATTTTGAAATAATATTAGATTTTTTATTTCAGGTTAAAAAATTGTTTCATACAAAATATTTTGTTTAAGGTAACTAAAAACAAAAAATAATAGAAATAATTGTTATTCGTATAATCATATCAACAAATAATATAATTTATATATGTTGTATTACTAAGGAGTCTGCAAAAATAAAAAAAATAAATAAAAAAAATTCATCATTGTAAAATCAATATCACTTCGTTCAGAATCTAAAATATATACATAATTATGATAGTTAAAGTATTTATCCTGTAAGTACCTTTAAAAAATGTTGTACTTAAATTCAAGTCTTCTATCTAGAAAAAAATATACAAACAAGTATATTAAAAGTGTAAAATGTATTAATATTCAATATTAAAACTTTAAAAAGGTCCATGACTTTTAGCATTTGTTTGGTTTAAGTTTATGTTCAATCCTAGGTTTCGTTTTTTTTTTTCTCTGTAGTCTTTTCTCCTAATGGAGGTCGACTGGTTAATAATCATTTGCTTCCTTTAGTAATTTTTACAGACCTCCTTGCAAATGACGTTGGTTGAACTTTGATCATAGCACTAAATAGTTCCAATGACTTAAATTCAACTCCCCAAATTCTGAAACCCAATTATTAATATCTTCCATACAAGATATATTTGATCTTTTGTTGACTGTATTCCCAGTTTCTCCAACAATTTCATTTTCATATTTTTTTAAAAAAATCATTTTGTCAAACTTCAAATTTAAAAGTATTAAAAGGTTTTTTAAAACATTCAAAATTCAGAAATTTGGTAACTGATAATTTTCGTGATTTATCAAATTTGATAACTAATAACAGATAATTGATAGCAAAGTCATTATCTCATTGGGATTTAAGCCAATCGTAAAACAGTATTTTCAGTGGGTTCTCTAACAATGTACACTATGCTACTATTCACAACAATATTAAAACAAATACTGCTCATAAAATTACTTTTATTAAGACCGGTTATCAATATATTATCTGTATCTTATAAACTGTTCCTTATACTATATAGTATGTAAAACATATTATTAAGTATTAACAACTTTTATCATATAGATACAAGGAGTATTTAGATTTTTTTTTTTTTTTTCGAGAGAGATTGAGGACTGGGGAATTTCCTCTAAAAGAAAGTTCATAATTCAACCAATTAAAAAAAAACGAAAATTATAATTTTAGAAATCAATTTTATTATTTATAGAATAATCGTACCTTTTTCTTTTTTACGAAACTAATAAAATATAATTCCTACATAACAATAGAAAACTAAAAGGTATACTAGATTACATGCACAATTTAATAATAAAAATTCATAAAACGAATGATATAAGGTTCTTAAATTTCAATTTTATAGGGTTAAAGAAGACTTAAAATTTTTTTTAAAATTTTGGAAAACTGAATGTCAGTAGTACCAAATACACTTAAATAAAAAGAATGATAATAATTTTTAAAAATGAGTATAAAGCAAGGGAAAAGTTTATCTCAAAATCGGTGAAAACTTTTGGGATTTTACCAACGCTGGTTGTTTATTCTAAAATATATCATATATCTTTTGCATAAATCCGAACTTCAAATATCATTCGGGGTTTGACCAAACTATTTTGTGTAACCTAGGTTTTACCGAATTAATTGGTAAATATCTAAAATCCTGTAATTTAGCGACCGCAATCGGTAAAGCCTAGAGTTTACCAGTAAATCCTAAGTTTTACCGGTATTAGAACTTTTACCGTAACATATGTTATATATACATGTACTCCGTGAAGGAAATTTATTTGTATACACCTTCATTTCAAATATATAAGATAAAATTTTTTTTTTTTAATGTAAACGTTATTTAACTTAATTATAAACTTTTACTTTTGAAAACTTATCAATAATCGACACTGTCTAAGTTGTTGCTCAAATTTTTTGAATATATTACTGGTAAATTTAATATAATATCTATTGGATTTCAGATGAATGTGAAAACTCAATTCATCGATGCATCCGATGTGTACGGATCAAACGAAAACGTTACCAAACGTCTAAGACTCATGGAGGGTGGGAGACTTAGGTCCTCAGTAAGCGAAAACGGTCAGATGTTCTGTCCATTCATAGGAAGTAAAGAGGGCGTCCAATTTACCTCAGAAAAACATCCGCACAGCATTTATTACGACACAGGTTTATATATAAATATGTATAATAGTTTTCAACCATGAATCAAACACCGGTTTTATAATTTTTTTGAAGCTTACAGAAAGAAGGTTTTTAATTAGTATTTCAACAGTAAATGTATCCATAAAACTGTTGTTCAGTTTAAAATTGTCTTATTCTGTTAAAAATAGGGGTCTCGTTATGAATAAGTATCTGAATGTTAAGTAGTTTGATAACATACTTACAATAAAATCAATTAAAAATATAAAATTGTTTAAAAAAAATGTGTTTATTAATTTTATTTAATCATATTTTTTTAATGCCATATTTTTTAATGAACTTGAAAATTAATGTGTTCGAGTGGTTTTGTACATAGTTCATACCGTATTTTATTATTTCATTATGGATCTAAAAAGAATTTTGAATATCATAAATTATTAAACTAATTATTTTATTTTAAATTTTAGATTTTTTAGCTAACAAATTATTGACAGATTGTTTACCATCATTGAATCAAAACATAGCATAGATATTTTAATATAAATTTAATATTTTATAAAACCTTATGCTTAAATGACCAACGCCCACCTTTTAACGATCAACTAACGGTATACGCTTTTTAACCTAAATATTTCTATATAGGAGATCCAGATAATGGTAATCAAAATCTGGGAATAACAGCAATGCAAACATTATTCTTAAGGTTCCACAACTACATTACTTATAAATTGTTGGCTTTAAATCCGAATTGGTCGGACGAAACACTTTATCAAGAAGCACGAAGAATTGTCATTGCAATTATACAGCGTATAGCGTATGAAGATTTTTTACCTATAGTTATTGGTGTGTATCTATAGCAATACGTCAGAGAAGAATGATTTTGAATATATATTTTAAACGTGTAAAATTTATAATTGTTTTCTGTCACAGGGGACGATTTCCAAGAAGCTTATGGAATAAATAATGAAAATATTTATAGCCCAACAGTTAGTCCAGCAACGTCTCAGGAATTGTCTTCCGCTGCTTTCCGTGTCTTGCATTCGATCATACCATATCAGTTCAAGTAAGCATTAATCGAATAGCCAGATATAATTATATAAATGAGTTATTAATTTTTTCCTTTTACATTATAGATTTATGAACGAAGATTATAAAACTGAATTTTCAATAAACGTGACGGATTATTTGGAAAATCCCAAACTAATACCAATGAACAACAACTTCGATAAACTAATAAAAGGATTTTTGGAAACGCCTGGTCGTCCTGTCCAACCTTCATATAATTTCTACGTAATTTTGTCATCTCATTCGTATCAAGCAGTATATTATGTAATATATTTCAGTATTTCATCATGATATGCTTTTTTTTAACTTATAGATATCTAATTTTATGAGAAATACAACTAGCGACAACCAATTTCCCGGATTAGATTTAATGTCGGTAGATATAACAAGAGGTCGTGATGTTGGTTTACCAACTTTTAATCAAGTTAGACATTTGTGCGGACTACCATTAGCTGATGATTTTGAAGACTTGCTGGACTCAATACATCTAAAAGATATCAATTACTTGATGCTATTTTAGAAAACCATAAAACGCGTTCCGTGTTTACTGTCCTTATTATGATTTGGTGGAGGTCGATTTATTTTGAACTATATTTATCTAAAAAGAAACAACATTATCAGATTTACGGTTCTTCACTACAATCAATAATTTATCACTATTCTGAGCATTTTTTTGTTCGGAATTGAGGGACTGTATTCAGAAATATGAATAAACTTAATTCGTCATTAATTTTCAAATCCAATTTCGAACATATACAATATACATATCATATACATTACTCATATTATTATATCATATACCTATATTTCATGTAAGTAATATGAATAATGTAGAGCAAATACTGGAAATACTCCATTAATTGATTTCATTGATTGTTTTGATAATTATCGATTGATTTTTTTTGTATCGAAATCAGTTTTTCAAGTTAATTCTTTTCGGTTATCGAAATAACTCGTTGTCTATTTGAGATTATTGAATGAAAAATGTTCATAGTATTATTGTTCATCTATATCCATAATATTAAAACAATATTATAACTCTATATGATAAATATGTTTATTGTAATATTTCAAAATATTATTAGATTATTTTAATATGTAATAATTCGGTTATTTTAGGATATAAAAAAAATTAAAAGGTCTTTATCACTCAGTGAACGACATTGACTTGCTCGTAGGATTATTATTAGAAAAACCAAGTGAAGGTGCGATGGTTGGTCCAACTACGAGGTGTATAATTGCCGACAGCTTCTATCGGTTCAAAGCTGGGGATCGATTTTTTTACGACGTACAAAGACAACCCGGTAGTTTCACTCCTGGTAAATTATATTTTATACAAATTGACTGATAATAACTACTATGATTGTATTTGCATTTTTTAGACCAACTTAAAGTGATTAAGAAAATCACCCTTGGTCATGTTTTATGCGCTATTACAAATGTAGATCATGTACAAACGTCTATGTTTAAAGCAATAGATCACAAGTAATTATAATTAATCACTTAATTTATTGTACTCATTGAGCAGTAAAATATATTTTTTGTTTGATTTAATTTTCAGTTTGTTCCCAGCTAGCAAATTGAATTGTGACGATGACTTCCGCATAGATTTCAATAAATGGTCGGAATCAACTAACGATTCTGACGTCAACTGTCCATTTTTTAAAAAATAAGCAATTATAATCCATTCATTCATGTTTTCATTCGTTCAATAAATTATCTTTAATTGTAAATCAAAGAATAATAAGAGTATTATCGACATAGATATTAAAAATTATTAAACTTTTCTTTTTATTGTTTTAATCTAAAGATAATACAGCATGAAGATTTTTTTTTTTTGTTGTAAAAAGCCAGTTACTATAAATAATTTGTGTTATAAGACAATGGATGTATTATTTGGACTGTATAATCAATATACATTTACAATAATTTAAATGCGAAAACCTGCGTTAAAAACTGTTGAGTGACATAAAGGAATTTAAGAGTAAGATTACATCAAGGGAAGAGTATGCTAGAGAGGAGATTTTG